AACGTCTTGCAGCGTGGAAAACCACGAAGCAGTATGCACGCCAGAACCCCCCTCGCATGCGACAGATCAGGACTAGTCTAGAAGGACCTAAACCTTATAATAGACTGTAGTGGACACGCTAATCTATGCCGTTGTCTCTGCACCGTCCTGAATAAAGGCTTGCTATCAGAACCACTCTCTTGGCTTTTTCTGCCTATCAGTCGGGTTCGAAATATTGGGCTAAAACACGTAATTTATCGCAAACCCGGCCATTTGGTGTGGACGGGGCATTCATATTCGCGTGTCCTGTTTGAGTGTTTATAAACGTCATCCCTCCCGAATGGTATTATGCTTGACAGAAGACGATATACATATGTATCAGATATATTTTTGATATAATTGGCAACAGGAACCAAATATTAATGCGGCATAAAGTTAATTCATTTTTGTCAGACAGGAGAGGCAGCAGCACAAGACAAATATTATCTGGAGTGTCTTTGATGAATCTTTCTAACACTGGCAGTATTCAATAAGACTGTGGGGAGGAATCTTAATACAGCAGCCGGTGTACCGATGGGGTGTGGAACATCCGAGACAGATTTACAACGCGGGGAACGAGCCGAGTGCAAGCTGGTTGTAGCATATGGTGTGTTTGCCTGGTTTACGCTTAAAGGTCATGAGTTAAAAAATGCAAGCAGGCGGAGAAAGGTAATGCAAAGGGATAAGCCGCCCAGGGAAGGACAGTGGGAAGTTTCGCATTCGCTTTGTCGCGCACTGATGTTCAAACATAATGAAATTTCCAGAGTTTGTGATAAGGGTAGGGTCTTTATTGTACAAACTGGAAGAGCAGGACCTTATCCTTTGCCCACAACTAACTCGTATCCATATGCTGCAAACCCCAGACTTATAAAGTTGTGAATTCACTCGGCATACAAATTCTCCACGTCATAAGATAATCAAATGTAAAATAGTCGTTTTGGACTAAAAATGTTCTGAAGTTCACCAGTATTAATTCTTATATAGAATGAGTTTTTAAATGGGGCAGTTTCACCTCTTATTTATTTCCTCTGATTACATTCGTAACCTTTCTCGCTTTTAGAAGATAAGCACCCTTCCACGTGAAGGTTGCAATAACAATAATACCATGTTTGCACCTGAGAAATTTATCGAACACTTGAGTAATGGTCCTATGCACTTTAAGGTGTTCAGTTGGGCCACATACGAGCAGGTACATTCTAAACCATGAATTTTTCGGCCGACTGGTTCAGTACTGCTCCAAGGCCTCTAAAAACAGGTGGTCCAGATTGATTCCACCTTGTTTTAGGTGTTATATCGAATGAAACCTTTGCCCCTATCGGGCAGAACGAGAAGAAATGCTTGAAGGCTCGAACCAGCCTTTACCCAGATGCTCAACAGGCATCAACAGTTCAAAGAAAACCGAAGGAATAAAGTGCAGAGCATGTGTTTGGCCGTATCTACTTGCTATTGCACAAATGAGTTTTGTATGTCCGTTTTATCGCATGATGAACATGTAAAATCACGTGACTGTTGCCCACAAGACAAAAGGGTACCGTCTGTTGGAAGCGTCTGATATTAAGGAAAACCTATGGACGTTCGGTAAGAGGAGCCAGTGATCCCAAATGACCACTATGGAAGAGGTCAACCAACTCCTAGCATGGCTACGTGTGTCACAAATTGGACCCGATACTGCGTTGCCAGATAATGGGATCAAAGTATCTAACCCAAAAGCACAAGTCTCCTGTTGTCCACCGTTAATAATGTTGTCGTGAAAAATATAATTACGTCTGAGAAGCTGCATACGGAACTAAAAATGACGGTTCACGAGAAAAAATTGGCCATGTGGAGGTTGCCCTGTATTTAGGGTTGACGACGCAGACTGCTGCTCTGGACATGATTTTGACTTTAGAAGGCGGGAAGACGCTCTCTGGGAATAGTATTTTATTCGCCCGACCTTTCAGACTCTCACTTAAGGCCATTGTCAAGAAATAGAAACGTGCAGCTCACTGCGTGATTAAGTCAGCTCTGCCGTGGGTGACCTTGAGTTCCTATTGTCCGCTCCACCGCCAGTGGCCGTGAGCCCTGACATTTCTCGCGCAACGCGAAATAGGCATCTGGAAGATCGATATACCTATTGATAGAGTCCGCGTGCGAGTGCCATGGCTCCTGCAAGAGGCGTGAGATTCAGTCGTCCGACTGACCCAGTATTCGCACGTGTTCGAAATCGAAGCCATGCTCTGACATGGATGCGTGAGCGTGATCATGATTATGCATTCCGGTGATAACTATCTATCGGAACACGTGCAAGAAGGGGGGTTTGTTCATGTCTAATCGACTAATCTCCAACCGCCTGGAATGCCCGGCTAGACCGGAAAACTAAATCACGTAGGCTTCCGTTAGTGCGCCTATACGAACTGACGTATGGCCTAGCGGCCCATACCTCCTACTGTTGACTATTAGGGCCGGATATGAATGTATGCACCCCCATCCCGCCCACGGTACTGTGACGGAAATTCACATCTAACGAGGAAATAGTCACAAAATGGGTCTTACGGATGGGGAAATTCAAAGGAAGAGATAGTGTGTTTTAATCGATTAATAAACGCAGACAAACGTGTTCATGTCATATGAACGAGTTAATTTATTCAATAACTCTGAATCCAATCGTGTATCATATGCGAAAGAGCCTATAGGACGTCACGTGATCCCATATAAGAAATGCTGCTGGTCCTTAGATGAAAAAATGTCTCTATTCAATTTTCTACTGGCCTTAGGCGAGAAAAAGCCAATACCATTGGGAGAAGCAACTACTATGGTAACCCATCACTGTCAGGAAGCGTGGGGGCCACCCGAACACTATCCGAATAGGAAGTGCGCCTAAATCTTTTCCTAAAGTAAATCAATCAACCTAAGCGAAATGAGTAGGCACTTTATATGGATAAAATTATGGAATTGTGTGAGCGATATTTCTAAGGTGGCTATGGCAAAATGTTTATATCATATGTCAGCTTGCTCTATTTGCCACTAAATGTCAGATATATTTTTCTTCAGCCCTGCCTACTATCCGCAATTATATGTCTATTCTGTGCGTGTTCAATCGTAACCTAAGTTGAGAATTACACTGCCGTTTGAAAGACTTTTTAAATTAACTGTGTATGTGCTAAATGAACGGGTCACAGTACAAGGTTCTTGTGACTGAGAAACCACAACATTCAATTGCTTCTGGAACATGCCTAGGGTCCAGTCGCAATAGGAGAAATTGTGTGTTTTGACGGTCAGCTTGAAAAAAGCCTACAGGTGCACAGATGCAGACAGCTTTAATGACGCGTATTCCACAAGGGCCCTCGACTAAGCAAGAATACACAAGAGGACGCCCACTGAACGGTTCTTACATAAGGAATTTAGAAAAAAATAAACGGATTTTGGGTGCCAGTAATTAAAGTGAATGTCAAAGCATGGTTTTAAACACTGATTACCTGGGCGATGTGTCCAAGCGCAATTTTTTCGCATAATGCAGGAGAGGCTAGAATTGGAGCGGTAGAAGGGCCCAAACACGATTTTTCAGAGGATGGGCGGTGCTTTTTGGTAAAGGCCACAGCAAAGAGATACTCCTCATCGGGTACGAGTTTGCAGATTTCTATAACTTCCGAGGTGTTGGCTGGGTACTATAAATATATAAATCGTTTTAGAGATATCATGGCAAGGCAAGTTTGTAACATTTATTCCCGTAGAAAGCTAAGCATACTGAAATGCCCGTCCTATCACAAAATAAAAAAACTTTAATCTAACTAAAATTGAATGCTGGCAATACACTTTAATAAGAGTTCATTTTTAATAGGTTGTGCATTTTGGATTGTAGTTCAGATCACCAGCTGACTGGAATTATTGAGTCCTCAAGAATATACAATGCATCCCCCAGATCCGGTAGGCTAGGGACACAGAAGACTGCAGGAATACAGGTAAGCTTACAATAAAACATTTCCGGCAGGGTACCAAGTTCAGTGTTCTAACCGTAATACGGACACTTCTCTGAACCTGAACTCCGGCCCTTAGCCAATATAAGCCCTGAACCGCACTTAAGTAGACAATGAGATCGTGACTCAATTGTTACGACGTTCGACTTCGAACCAACTGGTCGCGGGTTCAACCCTGAAGTATTGCAATTCCAGTTTTCCTTGTCCTTATGAGTAATATTCTTCTGTCTATAATAACAGCCGCGGAGCTGGAGAATAAGGCCCAAGGCAAAACGGAAGGAATACGTCATTTAACGCGATTTGCAGGTGTCCATCTTCCATTATTAGCCCAAACCTCTCAACCATATTCCTACGCCTGACAAAATCTCCGCGGAACTTTGTGAATGGATATCTATCCTTATTTCATATCTAAACTACGTTCCTTCTACATCTAACGCTTGGATAGCAATAATTGTTTGCAGTCCTAGGAATGCTTTAACTGCCTTGCGAGAAGGAGTACATTTGGGAACTCTTTTATAACTCGAGCCCGCTTTTGGTCGTCTTGGCATTCTCCGGCTATCGGAGATAGCTTAGTGAGGGAGGAGAGAGTATGATAGCTTCAAAGCAAGTTTGCCTCGCTATAAGCGGATTCAGACCAGTTCATAGTCTTGCATCCATTTCCTGGGTCATCGCCATCGCCTAGAAAAGTCAAGCTGTTATATTATATCTGTTTTCTCCGAAAAACTACAAGACATTGCAGAGTAAGCATGCCCGGTATAGCTGAAATCTATCACATACCATGCTCACGAACCATTGTGCACCATTTGTCGCGATCCCGAAGACCGTTAGCGAAGGGCAACTCGACCTTTTAACCGCAACTGTTCCTTGTTCTTGGAGACTTTATGTCAGAGTTGCTCGGGGGGACTAGGAATCCATTCCTAAGGTCGGGTTGTCGACACGAACCTCGAGTAGGGGTTTGTGTAGTTGTAGGGACTAATATGTTTGTAGTATCCTCTGACATAAGTTTACTCTTACCAGGCACCTTGCCTGCACTTGTCTTGATTTTATCTTGCAGAGAAACTTGACGATATCGGGAGGAGTGTAGTGGGATATACGCTGAGACATTTCCTTCCACAATAAACTAGTTCATGCGCAGGTCACACCTGCTCATGTTCACATTGTGGTAATCTTTACCGAGCAGCATGAAAGAGCAAATATATCTTAATGAGGAAGTCTCTAGTGCTCCAAAGCACGCCACCAGTTCATATAGGAGTGCATTTTATTTGCTTATATCTTAGCCCGCAAAAATCAAAAATATATTTTAATAAAGTGCAATATAATTTCTTAAATCCGTCCATTTTGGACGTACTTGGTGCCCAGTTCCGCTGTTTGACGATCGAATCTTTTAGAGGAATTCGTCTGAGCTTCATTAATCGAAATGTAAATGGGGCAGACCGATTACCGACCCGTAAGCCTCTCTGTGTCTTTTTAATTTCGTCATTTTTACTCAACTTTTAGAACTCTCCGTGTATCACTTAACCACCTGTTTACATAAAGACTACGATGTGTAGTTATCTCGCACATAATTTAAAAAACCTTACAACTTTCTTACCACAACTCCACTTCCATGCAGTTTTTTATCATTCAAATGAGGTGTGACGTCTTTGAAACCAGTCCGTCTGCGTCCCAAAAGATGAAAAGTCTAGAAAAAGTTGACGGTTTGTGGATTTTGTAAGCATTTAAAGGTAATAAAATTTTAACAAGGTAAGCTCAAGTGGTGCAATTTTTTCCAGATCTCACTTAACATGTGCACCCGAGATTTTGAAAAAAAAACAATCACCTCAGCATCCAACGAGTCCCCCCAAGCCGGCACATGAAGAGCGATTTTTGTTTGCGACCTTCCAACGACGGTCAGTATTGGGGAAGCGTCCGCCTTCATACCTGTTCCCGTAGTCTCTAACGTCGGTTGGGCCTGGCGTGAAACCCTTAAGACACTGATGGCTTTCTAGAATAGTAGACGTTGTTTGAGTGGACAGTTTTTAAATCAGTGTGCAAATTATTATATTTTATCAACACAGAAATATAGATTTTATCAGATGCAGAGAAACGTAATCTCGCAGATTCTTTTGTCGCTTGTGGCCTCAACAGGTATTATGCGAGTTTACGTAAGTTGACTGTAATTGGCCCTATTGTACCCGTATTCTCCGCCAACCTTCATGCCGGTCTTTATTTAACCAAGAAGCTCCCTGCTGTTGTAACGGATGCTCAGGCCGAGGTATTACTACCCAATAACGCCTTGTGTGAGCCCCAAAGGAAGAACACGACAAGAAGTGTGCAACAGCAGAAGTCTTTTAGTGTATTTAGGATAACAAACACGTGTAACACGATGTCCATCCAGCCAATCAGCTTCTCTCCTAGCGTAGGCGCCGGCAGGATTGGCTGGTGACTCAGTGACTGAATGTAGCTTGAAATTTCAATTATCGATTGACTGACGGCTTGTGTGCGTTCGCCCGTGTGGGCCGATCGATAGCCTGCTTTGAGTGTGGCTTTTGCTTGCAGGCTAACTGCTTGCTAAGGCTGTTCGTTAGGCCGTCCTAACACCTGCAAGCTGCTTCCACCAGTGCAGGGAAAGTTAGTAGCATATTGATGCGTTAAATCTTCCGCAACTGCTCATGCAAGAGCAGAAAAACGGGGAAACAAAAGATTAGCCTTTCGACCAATATCTCTGCTGAAAGTCTAAGAAAAAAGCCAGCTATGCAGACTGAATAGTAGAGGACGTTTGGCAGCTGCCGAGATGCGGCTTCTCCGTTCAATAATATCGACAAAAGGTGGCTTGATTGAAAACTTTCGAATTCGTCGCTACAAGTTAAAGTTTGTTTATTACGTTCAGGCCAAAAAGCTTCACCTTCATTCCATTGAAATATAGAAATATATGCCTGTTTCTGAACCACAATTTTGTTCTTTAGGTGATGAGCACAGAATGAACTAGTTAAAAACGGACGTACGTCCAAGAATTCGCGTCGGCTTTCATCTTTCGTTGCATAGGTCGCATATTCGCAATATAAAAGCGCTTTTATCAGTGAATTTTTCGAATCTCGCAGTTTATGCTTTTTGCGCGAAGGAAGCCTCTTCTGTTGGTCGCATTCTGAAATTTCTAAGTAAAGAAGAAAGATAGTGTTTACGTTTTTCTTAAGAGTTTCACTGTTAAAAAGGTATCTCATTTTTCAGCGGGTCTAACACGAAACTCTAAACACCTGGCAGCAGTCCCTTTTGGTGGAGGCAAAAGACAATCAAAAGATAGCTGATCAGTGTAAGCTTGCCTATTCAAAACTGTCAAAACGTATCTTCATATGGTTTTTATCTTTAGGTACTGATTGTGCTATGAAGTCATTGCTATCTGATTCAAAAGTGGTTCACCAACTGGGTAACAACATTTTAGATTGATAGGCGGGTCTGACAGACTTTAACAATTTAGTTGACCAAATTATGAACAACCTGGTTGCCTTGGGGGTAGAGAGGATTTTAACCCACGGTAGAAAGAGGAAGTCTTCAGTACAGCCAACCCTCAAACCATCCGAGCTACGGAGCCCCACTGCAAATCGTGAGTTTAAACACACTTAGATGAATTTACCGCCAAGCTTACAGGAACGCATGAAAGTTACTAATTCTTATTTGTGAAATCCAAAACGATGTAAAAAGTCACGATTTTTTATATAGCAATTTCAGATAATTAAGTCAGCTATGACGACTACCCCAGATTTTTGGCAGCATTGTTTGTGTGTCTTGAATCTAAGTTTACTATAATGTTCACAGTATAGAAATAACGCCGATTTAGTGGCACCCGCACTTATTAACTCAAAGATGTTTTTGATCAGTTCGTGAGTGGCTGAACCCTGCACTATTAATCAGAGCAGAATAGCATCTCGCGGAAGAAGCGGAAGTCTGTGTTACCGTACGTATTATTCAAGCAACACCGATTACACAATACTGATAACGAGTGTGTCCTTCAAATGATCGGTGTGCGCTAAGCTGAGACTGCCAATCAAGAACGCACAAGACAACGAGCCCGTGGCGCAGTGGTTAGAGTGTTGGATTTCTAACTACCATGGCCGCGGGGTCAAAACTCCAGCGGGGCACTGATATATGGGGCACCACTTGGGGTTGAGTAGGACTGGCTGAAGACGGCTAGTAAGCCAGAAGAGGCCATCCTAGTCTCGCTTGTCATTGTCGGTAATGTCCTTCTGCCTATATCATTAACCGTCTTGCGGCCTGACTCGAGAGTGAGCCTCAACGGCATCGGGAGGAACGAAAGTGTCTTACAAGTGTTCGGTGAACGCTTATCTGCCAATGATGATGACGATGCATACTTACCAAGGTGCTCATCTAAGGCAAACAGTTTCACCTCCATTGCAGTTGCCTCCGCGTAAAGCTCTGACATCTGGTGAAATTTGGGGCTCGCCGACTGGCTTTTTTTGTTAAATGCTGTCACCTAAAAGAAGGGACATCTCTTTGAACAAAATAACTACTCGCAAATGAAATATCCTTAACCAGTCACATTAAATCTACGAATTTCGCATTCGGTGGGATTTCGATTCTGACCTGTAAATGAAGGGCTTGAAGATAATAAGTAGAATGAAGAAGTAGTGTAAAATTGGAGGCAGAAGGAGTTACAGCTGCGCATAAAGCCAATGTTTCGGAGTTTGGAAAAGTAAGGTTACTGATAGCATTGGGGAGTTGAGTCATGGAGTGTTATTGGAAAGGAAGAATATTTGACCTTCGATATAGGTTGTTTAGGAAATAATATGGGGATCATTTCAAATTTTTAATAACTGGTTAACAGCACTTTTAGACAGTTAGGTATTCACAAAGGCAGGAGAGACTAGAACTGCTATTTTGACTCACTAGTCATTAGCAAACATTCCTGCCCAACTCAACATATGGAACACCTGGAAGTTCAATTCGAGATCGTTTCTCATCGAGCCTCATGATCCAAAGTTGGGCCACAAGCCCGCTGTGCTGTCGATATTAATCAGAAAGGTTACTTTTGATGAAGTAAGGGTTAACCCATAAGGTTTCGGGACAGGGTTGCCCCGCTGTGCCTCGATCTAGAAAGCTTACGGGCAGTCGCATAATGACTAGTAACATAAGCAGTTATATATTTACTAAAAAAGGCAAGGGAGACTTTAATAGCCATCTCGGGATCATAAGTTTTCATTGACCGTTCATTGCCAACCCCGGAGGTGAGCACCTCGGATGCCAAAGCGATTTATTTAGTTATCGAGTTTGGCAGTCTAATCTTGGGGCAAGTGTCCAGTATCTTGGCGCTGGCGATCGGAAAACGGCCATTCCGGCCTTCTTTTTTTCGTAACTTCATTATCTGCAAATCGTAACAGTTTCCATGAGACCGTCTACAAAAAACTTGGCTTGAAACCTAATGACCACCAGCGGGGACCATTTTCAGTCAAACGATTAGTGAACGCCATTCTACCCTAATTAACAGTATTTCCGAAATTTTGCAGTTTTGTCTAAAAACATAATTCAACTGTCATATACAGTGTTGACCTTATCACATATAAATTCCTCGTCAGCATCTAACATAGATACTATTTTTATGGATGACTTATGTGGCCCTCTTACCAGCAAATGCGAACTTGAACCGCTAGCGCCTTTGCACCAACCAGAGAATAAACGGTTCGGTTTATGGCTAGGATTAGGGTTAATTTAAACCTTAGCTTTACGATAAAGGTTCAGATTGGCGTAGAGGTAAGCAAATGTTACGTGTGAGGTTAACGTTCAACTTATTGTCAGCTGGGGGATTAGAGTTTGAGAAAGAGTTAGAGTGAGGAGTAGGGTCACGGTTTGTATTTACGCTAAGGCAGGTGTTTAGGGTTCGAAAACTGTAAATTAGTCTTGTGTCCTGCTTAGGAAGCCATATAATCAATCTGTTTTACTTACTTCTGCATAACCCATAATCAAGCATGGTTAAAGGCGAAGGAGAAGAAGAAAAGAGCGTTTTCTCCTTAAATGCATACATCTGGGACCGAACGTACAAAATCACTATGCCTGCCGCTTAAGGGATTCCAACACAAATTTTTGGTTTGCTAATCACGAACCTCCATCGAAAACATCAGTTCGCCCAGGAACTGCTTAATCCATGCCAGTTTCTCGAGAGCTTGCTTCAACAACTTTCTGGTGGCAAGCTTGACCGAAGTTCTCCAGCCGTCGGCGCCGGGACCTTCCTCGTTAGATGCATCTGATTGATTATAAAGAAAAGTAACCGTATGAAGCTGGACATTTAAAAATCAATACTTTGCATTCAAACGCACGGAAAGTGGATTTTCATGAAAAGAGTTACCCATAAAGATATCATATGCTCGGGAAAAGTAGACGGCATAATAGCCGTTTGCAAGATTTGAAAGTGGGGTTATGTAGGAACATAGAGCAATGTCACATAGCATACCCACCCTAAAAAAAGCACCTAGCGTGATGTTGCTAATATCCTAGCTATGGTCATGTAGCAGTAGTTGTGACTGAGTAATTACAATCCGCATTTGCATGGTATTTAATGCTCGAGGACATTTTATAGGTAGAAAGTAGGCGAAAACAGGATATGTTATCATTTTAACTGAGAAAATATATTTTCACCCAACACTTCACAAAAAGGTCTGTGCTATTTCGCAGTTTATTGTGCGTAAACTTACTGGTATTTTTATAAAAACTGCAAAGATACCTATGAGGACTGATTACACGGCCGTTTAAATGACATAAATAACCTTTCGCGGGAGTAATCACCTACATAAAATCCTAGTAGAAAAACATCAACAGCTCATTCCCTTGTGTCCCAAAGTAATTACACACTTCCGATGGCGCAGCACGATTGTTTAATTGATTATAAATCAATAACTTCGATTTTGTATTAGAAACTTGTAAACTCCGAGAAAAATTTTCCGATTTCAGGGGAACTTAGATTAACAAAAAGCGCAAAAATTGAATTAAAGTATTGGTAAGAAAATACTTTCAAGATGAAGTAACTTCCCTGTAAAGCGAAAGTGAACTTCTATAAAGATTAGCTAGTTTACTAGACATTAAAATATTTATTCTGTACGAATCTTTACTAACCATTTTCGGATTTCCACAATAATATGTCAGTCATTATTAGCAGACGCCGAAGTCGTTCCTCCTCTGAAATTTGACCTAAAACCAATCTTTCTGCCATCCCGCGAACAAGATAAAGAAATTGCGTTGTCCACTGGATTGCAAAGGATTCCACGTCATTAACTTTCTCCACATCGACCAGGTGTTCTCGAGCAGACATCAGCAGTAAAAGCCACTGAAATGGTCACTTGAACATGCAATAACGAGTATAAACCATGCTTTTAAAATCACAGAATGTATGTGCTGCGTGTTTTGACCTTTATATCAAAAGAAGGATTTTTCAGTAAATGGTTTTGTAATGAACATCGAACAAAATCTACGTTTGTGAACTAAAGATTGAAGACACACAAAATTTTCTAAAATCTTCCGGAAATTAAAGGACGATCCGTAAGTTATTGTAATTAAACAACGACAATGTGTTTAAAATAGTTTGACTAAGGAAAAGTTTTTTTTGATTTAAAGAAGGTGTTAAGATTGTCCATTCAAATTACAATAAGATTTTAATTTATCGTTCTAACTTATCACTATATTTTACGTCTGAGAAACTTGGGTGTACTTAAGAAAATTTTTATTTTTCCTAATAAAAATAAATGCTTCTCATATTTCCTTTGAGTAACAAATTTGCATACGTTTGTTTGTTATTAATTCTAAGTTTTCCTACACGTGTTAATGTCAGTTTGCGAGTGATTAACAATCTTTCACAAACTCCAGCATTGTTCCCGACTTCTACACCGTACTGTATATACCAAATTAGTACGCGATTGTTGTCCACCGCTCTATTTATATGCATGATAGAGCTGCGCAGTTTCACTTATCTTGGAGTTTTAGCTCCATGGTGCTAACAGGCGTTGCATGGCGAATGCCACTTTGTAGAGGAGGCGCCCTGTCTAATATTGACAATGTAGGCTTGAACTACTATTTCCGACGTATGCACATTTATCAGCTAACCACAACGTCCACTTATGATACAAGTCAGCGTAATTTTATCTGTGAACGGGCATATCCGGTCGAATATGAATTGCCTTTACCGGTCTATTGAGAGAGTTTTGAAACGCCTCGTTCAAAACAAAACTGGCTAGTCCTGCAACAGTCCTTTAAAATCTACCAAATCCCAATGCGAATTCTTTTTCCTCGTTTTTAAGTATTAGTATAGCGCCTGACTGTCTTAAATGTTTATCCCCTTCCTTATCGACTAGACAGAGGTGAGTTCATAGCAACGTTTCAGTTACTAAGGGAAACTGATCTGAATGTCAAGTACGAGAATCTCTTTCGAACTGCCCCACGAAGGAACTTCAGAAGACATGATTTT